GCTTGACAACTCACTGAAAGTGCTGGATTTATGCACCAATTTACCAGCTCGCGCGTGCAATGCGCAGCTTCTTACCCCCCAATCATCGGTGAACGAAACTGTGGCAGCTTCAACCGGTGTACGACCAGTACGCGGTTATTACAGCTGATAATGATGATGATGATGATGATGTCGCATCCGGTTGTCTAAACATCAGTGTCAATCGTACGCTGCCTTACGCTTTGTTTTTATCTGGGGAACCTTGGCATTTTTTAAAAAAAAATTTATGTTTTTTAAATAACGTACTGGTTAACTATTCTAGACCAGACTATCTATTGCCTTTACGCCCACGCTGAATTCACTAACACGGCGCCCAAGCAACCCGTAATTACACTTAGCTTAGCCCTCCCTATGACCAGAACTTCTGAGGTGAAACTTCGTAAATGCCGGATATTGGGGCCTTGTGGCGCGTCTGATTTGGACACAACGGTACATCATGTGTTCCAACATGCCTTTTGTAGCATTTAGGCAATACTCTGTTTACCACTTGTAACTCATAATTTCAGCTACAAATAAGCTTTATACCCGAAAATTCGAAAGTTCTCTGATGGTATTGTTGAAGGCCCTGCTTCATATGTTAGCTCGTGAAATTATGAGACAGTAACGCTCGTTCACCCTCCAGGTTTTGGAGACTCTATAGAGTAAATTATGCAGAGTTCCCACTTAACTAGCCATCTTGTTATTCGCTTGCTCCTCTAGGTCAGATTTCACAACCATCCTCATCCTGGCCTCGTGTTTTGAAAATGAACCATAGTAGACTCCGTGAACAGCTCTCACACGTCACACAATGCTTCTTTTTAAATTATCCAGATATCAAGCACCTCCAGTTGCCTGGACTATCAGTCCAAACGTCTCAACATCAGATGGACCTCCTCCACAGGCGAACAACAAAATGCCTACACGGTGAGTCCTACAATCGCGAAGTAGAAAACTACAGAAAGGACTAAAAACCTCGTCTCTTCCAGAGTTTTTTAACGTCGTTAAAACTTCCCAGAAACCTTATTACGATAGACTGTATTCGCCCAGTTGTATATGGCTTAAGAAACCCCTGTGGACCAATTCAGAGCAGCTACATGAACGAAGACTAATTTTTCATATCTCGACGTTTGGTTTGAGATTTGTGAAATCTGTCAAGCAGGTTGATCACTCTCAACCACTTTGATTAACGGTTGCGCGCAAAAACATGCAAGGAAGCCACAGCATTTGCGGGTTCGTCCAGCTTGTTGTTCGACAGACGGTGGATCGGTTTGCTAGACTTGAAAACTGCAGATATTGTTGATGTTGTTTCATTGTTTGACTCCCGCTTTCGCGAGGGTGGTATGATTCTCGTCCATTCTCTCTTTCGCTTCCTCGACCGGCAGTCTTTCACCACAAATGTCTATCGAGATGGCGTCAGAACACAGTCGACTAGGACATCAGTGCGACCATCACTTTATAAATTGCCGTTTATGTTACTGGAGGTATCTGTTGGCGAGGTTCAGGTCGTCCAATGCAGCAACGTTGACAAGTCCTCTACTCAAGCTGGATTTGTTGAGAACATGGCGGGTAGATTCGTCTGATCGATCTGCGGAGTATTCCAGTCACGAGTGATCGGGTGTAGTAACTCTGTCAACCGCGTATCATGACTCTCCGTAAAAAACCCGATGGTAGAACATATCGACACATTTCAAGTTAAATCCAACGAATCACTCGTAAATCGAGCTATAAAAATTCTGGTTAAAACAAGATTCCAAGATGTGAGTGCACCGTGAACATGGTCAATCAAGACAAAAACAATCCCATGGAGATCACAGTTGTCTACTGGACCACTGTAACATAATTAGTGGCAGATGTCCTTTTCGCTACGAGGATTTTAATAGTAGTAGGATGCTCGATATTTAGCATGTAATCGCGGAAGCTACGCATTGTTATTTCTATTTGCGACCACTGAGTGGATTACGGACGTTCCACTAAGCAATATGAACAGATCTCCTTGTGCTCGGAGGCTCAGCTCGTTTGCTGCTCAGACGGGTGGGAACAGCCTGAAACGTTGTAGCATCGGGTGGTTGGCTTGATTTGGACACCGTAAAGTAATGAGGGAATATGATTCAAATAACAACCCCAATGTCACTCGACTTTTGTTTGAGGGGGCCTCTAACCTTTGCACAACCAAGGCTGCAGAGGAATCGTCGGCATCAATGGAATAGGACTTCCATCGTGGTCGTTGGATCCTGAGAGTTATCTTTTCCGCCCAGTCAGCGGGAGTTTAGTCATGTTTTTGCCGTTTTCGGTTGGAATTCGGAACAACCACTGAACAGTTATTCCCATCTGACATCTACTTCCGTCCTTTCACGTTTGTTGAAACATCTCCACAGGATGGCACTGGATAGCATTTTTCCGGCATAATTTACATGATGGTGGTTGGTCTCTCTGGAGCACTTCGCGAATTGTGAAGGATGGCTTTAGTTTCACAAGACAACTACGCCGACCATATGTACGAATTTGGAGACACCACCAATCACGCATGTCTTGCTTTAACATCTGGATAACGATCAACAAACTGAACACGAATATGCATCGAATCCAACCAATGGGGTCAACATGTATACTGGCTTCCTCACTTCCCACAAAATTACAAGATGGTCCTTCCGAAACTTTTCAGACAACTTAAATATATAAAATAAAAATTGTTCAGCTGTAACTTCCTTTCGGTGCGTAGCTGCCATGCCACCAGAAGGAAGCAGGAGGGCTGGGATACTGCCAGGTTGCCCAAACCTAGACAGGGGAAGTCGAGATGCGGAGGACATGTTCAAACAACGGACCTTCCGGTCAGTAAATCGGCGCTCTAACGCTGGACCATCTCGCCCCCGGCAACTTAATAAGACACAGGAGCCTCAAATTGCCAGAATACTACTTCTGAAAATTGCCTGAGAAGTGGCGGTGACAGCAATAGATAAACTTTGTCTGAGTCTCATATTGGCTGAGAGTGAACATTTTTAAGGAACCGTTCAGGAAATAAATTGAGCAGATAAGTGTTAAATCATCTACTGTTCCTATGAAGAATACCTGTCGTATTTTGGGCAGCCTAATTGAGTGACGCGCGAACCCGTAGGCCAAGAATTGAGAATTCTTGAGATTTATCAATAAAATACAGTACTACATGTACAGAAATAAATGTACGAAAGGGATGCAAACTTCTGTCCAACTTTTCGCACGAATTGGCGCAAATCCAAAGAACGCCCAGGGAGAACGGTAGATCGATCTGAATTAGCGACAAACTTGCTCACACAGCGCTTGATGACGCAAATGGTCAAAAAGCGCGCGTAAAAGGTTCGTCAAAATTGATTCGACATGTCAAAAGTAAAAAGCTCATAAGGGTTTGCGGGTGAATATCGAGTCCATGAGGTATACGCATAAAACTCGGTTAAAGCAAGGGGAGGGTTTGATCGAGAGAAAGGAGATACATCCTAACTCGTATTCCAAGAAGAATAAACTGATCCATTAATGGTTTGCGTTGAGATGTATCTCACTGACTTATAATCAAACCTTAGAAATGTTATAGAACTACTTTTTAGCTGGTCATGATACGACTCTTTTTATACTTTTCATTCCTCCTCAGCTCAACGGAACTGCATGTGCGATGCCCCGAATGATAAAAGCCCTTTTGGAAACCCATCAGAACAAGGTAATCATCTTTTTGTTAAAATGTGTTGTTTTTCTGTAAGTGTCCTCAGACGATTTTGTCCACAATCCAATAGAAGCTTTCAAGCACACACCATTGAAAAATTGGGTCATTTTACCGTGCTTGTGTACACAAGAATACTTTCTCAATGGGACTTGCAATCAAGCCGGACGCATCAACGTCTTGTAATGCGTGCTTTTCAAGTAGCTGTGGACTTGCTTTGTTTATCGCTTTAAGAATTATCAATTTTCACTAGTTCTGAAATGAGAACCTTGTAAATTATTTGTATTGCTATGTTTCTTGTTGGTTAGAATGGTTACTTGAGGTTGGTGATTCATGAATCGCAACGTAACACTTGATCGAGTCATGCTTTTCATTCTAACTTGAGTAAGTTTGGCGTTTGTCTTTTCAGCCTGAGGAGATCTATTTCAACTCCCTTCACCAGACAATCGTCTGGAAAACAATATGCCGTCTTCAATAACGCTAATTCCTTTCGGTGGTTTTCAGCATCTCATGTGGCTTCACCTTTTCTCTAAACCACTTCTTCCCAGGATGGCAGTGTCAATATCCCAGAAGTCCTACGGCCTGTGCTAGCCAGGCAAGGCGGATTGGCGCAACCGAATATCCGTATCAAACTGAAGCTAGCCAGCTACTAGCCTCGGCTTTCTCACATGGCTCCAAAATCAATGCATCAGAAAGCACTGTTGTTTTTTATCCCTGTACAATAACCACTGCGAGCTCCACGACCTATGTGTGTTTGATATTTTGGTATTGATGAGCTGAAAACACTTGAAGTTTGCTTTTATCAAGTTGACACTTTTTCTAACAATGTGGGGTGTGCAGTTGGTGAACGTATGGCGGTGTCATGCACACCAATCAACTACGTAGGCTCGAACATCGCTACCCGTTCGCTAATAGCCGATCAGGTTGCAGCTCTGCGAGATTAACTGTGTTTTGACTGTACGACAGTCGTAAGCATTATTCTCGTACTCTATGGGTCAGGACTGTTGCGTTGTCCATCTGGTATGAAAATACCATAAGGGTGTTCAAAGCTCAATGACACTCAACTGATATGAATTTTTCCACCTCAGTTACTAGTCGATGAACGGACCCACAAATAACGGCTTCGTTCGAGGGATCGTAATCCTGTTATACGATTTCGAGAAAATCCAAGTTATCTTGTTAGGGAGAGTCGCTCGACTTGACCTCTGCGAGTGACGTGAGGTTGTAAGGTTTCCGTACAAAGTGGAGCCTTCCGATCCCAGAAATTCCCCAAAAATTTCTCGAATAAAGGCTATCTCCTGACAAAGGGCACTTAGCTAGCAGAATGAATAAGTCGGTTACAAGTAACACGTGTCACTAATCTTGCTTCGCAGTACCAGTAGTCGTTTTGTACACACCGAACATTCTTCTGTCTCCTCAACTCCAGAATACCCCATACGTGCGTGTTGTGCAGAACCATATTTTCACACCATGTATACCGGTTACCGTCTGCTTAAGACAGCAGCGTACAACTTTCCCCGCTTCCACAGGATATGGTTATTGTGAGGCAGCTTGTACAGCCATGCCCAGTGTACAGTGATCTGCCTTCAAACATTGAAATCTGTCGTGACCATAGACCATTTCATATTCACTACATAATCAACATACACCGGACGGCTTTCCACAACAGCGCTGTCATACGTTTTGTTAAGTACACAATAGTCCAAACCTCGTAAGTGTCGCGTTGCTTTGAAGGGCTTAAATGGACACGGAATTTGGTAGTGTGTAGTAGGGAATGAGAATGAGATAAGATAGATGCAATCAGCAAGGATATCAAGTATTTGGAATGCAAGCGCTTCAGCTGTTGATTGAAGCTGCATGTTGGCAAACCGAGAAGTGACATCAACTGGGTTCACCGAAGTATGGGTTTCAAAAAACGGTCGTTTCTGTTGCTACAAAAGAAATTGGTGGCTGACTCTCCATTGAAACAAGCGGTCTGTTCAATATTTGGACTTCTAGTGGTGTAAGCATCCCGTGAGTGAGTCCCAAGAGTAGTCAGTTGTCATCACCACCGGTCTGATCAGCTATCGCTCTATGTGAGGGGTGCTGAAGCCGAGTTCCATGATAATATTGTTGATACCAACCACAGAGCGGGTTTTTAAAGTGCTAGTACGTGTCTGGTGACAAATAAACGTGAGACGCTGCACATATTGCTACCCTAATTGTGTCCATGTATGCTTCGGCATGCAGTTGCTCCATGTACGCTACAAATGGTTGCGTTTATCTGGTAACTTGCGATAAAAAGTAAGTTTCCGTTTCGCTGCGAAACTGCTCAAGAGCGAATGAAGAGGGCGGATCAGGTAGATTAGAAACGCGGGTTTAAGCATCATTCAGATAGAGGATCTCGTGAGAATCCAAATGGACGTTAGTTGTAGCGGTCCAAAGGTCAGTAGTAGGGGGTGATTGTTTTGCGGATTCCTAGCTAGCTATACCCTGCTGATTTATAAGCCATCGTTGACGGAAGCGAGATATATTGAACGCAGCTCCTGAAAGTGTTCTTGTGCAGGAGTCACATTCATTATTAAGCTTGTGATACGTGTATATAAACGATAACATAATTACTGAGTTGTGAAAATCTGAGCAACCAAGCCGACAAGAAATCAAAGCCTTATGAAATAAAGCCAGACAGATGCTCAATTTCTCAGTAGACTCATGTCCCATATAATGAAGACCACTCATGAACGAAGGCCGATTTTCACCCTCCCCAACAGTGAGTTTTACAGGAAGAATAATTGCTTGTTTCTGATTTCGAATTTGTGGTCATTTTTAGCCAACATTTTGGAAATCCTCATTTTGTCGGCTTGCATCCCGTAACTCAGCGTCCGGAATGCTCTCGTTTTTATTTTTCGGTAAGCGTTGAGGTCCATGGCCCTGAGATGTAGTCTCTTGTCTGAAAAAAATCATGGATTCTCAGTGTTGGTAAGGGCATATACCTGGACTCATTACGCAAAAATCTACCTGAGGACGCTTGAGAATGACTATCTAGAAGAATGGCATCCTTAGGGGATCGTGCTCACCGTATCGGCGCCTGCTCAAATGACCATCAATTACAACCTTGATGTAGTGGACGGACCCGAGTGCTGTCATACTTCCACGGACTATATTGGCTGAAGCGTCGTTCCTCAGGTTTTGACGGTGCTAGAGAAGGCAATCGCTTGGTTTCACGAGTTAACTGGACCACACGTCTGATAATGTCGCTAATCCTCGATGTGTCCAGTCTCGAGGTCCCCATCCAGGGGGCGGCAATGGCTAGCGTAGCGGAGTTTGCTGGCAATGGCTTTCATAGCTCGCTGCCAATTCATTGTTTGACCTCTCTTTGCTCGTTTCCACCATTCATTTGGTTATGCGAAAAGAACCGGTCGACTGGCCTACGTAGCACGTGATCAAGTCAGTACAACCTATGGAGTGTGATCAGTTCATCTATTATGGATGAGTTACCTCTTCCGAAAACCATTCGATGTACTTCAGCGTTACTGATCTGGTGTTCCCAACAGATGTGGGCAATGCTCTAGAAACATTGGACGAAAGTCTTGAAAGTCTTTTGACGTTCTGAGAATGCAGCGCCCAGGTTTCTGACCCGTACAACCATATGGAGCGCACTGCAGCTGTTATATCTGCTGATTCGTCGGCCTGTGGTATCTGCTGCTGACCCGCTCCAGTGCCTAGTGTCGGAGAGAAAAGGCTCACGGAAGGGAACACAATAGCTATATTCCAACAAACTGGTTGCGAGAGCGCGAGTGCGGAAAGTACAACGGCCTCAAGCTTTTTATTGGAAGGACACTGTCTGAACTTGGTCCAATGCTGACGCACGCGGTCTGGCTTTAGTACGAGGCAGCGACGTGCTGCATATTGCGGAGGCGTTGTCTAACCTTGATCAACGCTGACTCGCACTGTCTGGGTTCGATACAAGGCTGTGACGCGCTGCATACTGAGGCGGCGTTGTCTGTCTGGTCAACACCCAGCGGAGCTGAGAGTCTCCGTAGATTCCGGGCATTCAGTGGTTGCTTTCAGGAAGCTGACCTTCCTGATAGCAGAATTGTAATCGCGACCGTTAACGAATAGGCTGGTGTCACGCCCACAGTTGACACAGGTTCAAGAACGCCGCTCTGTCCGGATGGAAATGTCACCATTCACGAGACCACCGGGACTGATACACCTACCCCAGTAGACAAATTTGTTTCCTATCTCAATCAGCTCATTCGCGAGCATGAGGTCGGTGTTCGAGCCAAGCGCTGTATACTTATGCAAATTACTTATATGGTCGACTTTGTCTGCTACTGATTAGAAACAGTCGTTTGTGCTGAAATGTTTTTCAGAGTACCGAGCAACAAACCCGTCGTTTCCAACGATCGATTCGTTGACCCCATGCCTGAGTCTAGTTGACCGAATACCTTTCGTGCTGTTGAGGCCTTCTGAATCTCCTACATTTCGTTATCTATAAGCGGTGTATCGTCTCCCAAACTCGTCACTATTCAATGATTGAAAGATAACCATGCACGACTAACGTTATCGATAGGCTTCCTTCTGGCTGTACTGGGAGCTGCCGACAAGTTCATTTGATCATACTGAAGGGATCAGAAAAATGGTTGAAAATGCCATATACACTCATTCTTCGAGAACCCTCGTCACCATTCGATCCACTCATGACCCACAGATTTTGAGTGAGGTCAGTTCCGTGCTGGCGAACGACAGAAGCCTTGCGGATAGTTTGGGCTGGTCACCCTCAACATTCCAGCCTGTGCAAAAAAATAGACGTGTCCGTCTAAACTATGGCACGGTCAGAACTTAGATTTGCATCCAAACACCACGAATCACTGATTACACGAGTTTCTCGAAGCACAGTACGCATAGCAGGGAAGATGGTGCAAAGCTTGCGTGGTTCCTCGACCTAGTGTGTGGAAATTACGGGCGCCATAAATGACAATAAGAGACGGGTCCGTTGGACTTGTGACATTCTCGGTTACCTCACTGCGGTATATTGGTTGTGAGCGGCAGCTAAGTTTTCCAAAAATGCCTGTTTCAAGAGCTGGAAACGGTCGTTTTCGAAGGTTGATTATGCATCACAGTCGTGCAAGAAGAAACAGCGTTTAACCTACTTCACCATGTGATTCTGGTGGTCTGGCAGACAGCAATACACATTCGAAATCCCCTGGAAATGCCTGTCAGACCGTAATTGAGCAGCTGAACCACTTGGCAGCAAGGGGCTGCCTTAGCCCCTCAGGCAAAAGTGTGACGCAGAAATTAACATTGTGTACCATATACGTGCTCGGAAATACATCGAGCTCTCGCTCGTTTATTACAACCAACAGAAATGTCACTACGTCAGCAGGGAACAAGGTTGGTTTTACTTCGTGACAGCGCTCGGCTATTGCATGTGATGGGGTTGGCACACGATGCCTGTTCAACAAAAGCCTCCCCGCATTGACTTACAGAGCTTATGAAAACACAGATGCGTCATATAGAGAGAAACGGACCTTTTGAGTGTCGTTGCAGCGGTCCTCATATAATATTTAGATTGGTAGTCTTGTGTGGGAAACCTAAATTCATGGTGCGAAGAGCCAAGAAAATCATCAAAGCCGATTATGTTTTGCCTACGCAGACGTACTAATGATTTTTGTCTCGGTAGGGAAATCACAACTCAATAGGAATTGCAATTGAAAAGTGAAATAAAGTGCGCAGCGGCTTCCTATGCCCTTGTTTCCAAGACATCCAATTCTGAGGCCTCTATTTGAAGGGTGAGATGGTCGAAGTGGTTAGAGCGCGAATTTACTGACCGGAAGGTCCGTGGTTCGAATCTGACCTATGCCTCTCGACTTCCCCTGTCTAGGCTTGGGCAACCATGGGGTGGCATGGCAGTTGGGCACCGAAAGGGTGCTACAGCTGAGCGATTTGAAGGTCCAACCTTTGCCACCAAAATGGCAACCGATGGTCTCATCCATCTGGGCCAACTAAGCCAAAATCAAACTTACGCTCCGTGTTTTTGACACAATACAGTACAACAGATAAACAGAAGTAAGGAACTGTGGACACAGTACCTTCTGTGGGGCATGCGCGAGCGCTTTCTAACCGGTGTACTGATCAAACCGGTCCAGCCTAATCTGAAAATGTTCACGTCGTACTTCACGGACTATATTGTACACAAACACGCGTACAATCGTACAATCTGTGAAGTAAAACCCAAACTTTTCGGAATAGACTCGGCCAGTTTAATCAGCGCTCTGGTTGAAAACAGTGGTGAGATACTATGATCAAGCAGGAAAAGCGGGTTTCGCATTTAATATAGGAAGATGACCGCCATAACGAACCGTTTCCCGAGTCGTTCAACAATCATAAAAATTGCCGTCTCCTGCACCAGCAGTTCCAATTCAAACATTTCTCAGCTGCAACGATATCCGGAAAGTTCACATCCTTTTCAAAACCTACCTACCACTGCAAAGAAACCCCCTCTGTGAACAAAAGAACAAGTGAAACTTTCTATCAGAAAATAGGTTTATTGAACAGTTGTACAGTAGGAAAACGAAAAATCACCAGTTTTCAAAGCAACTTAGTCTTTTTCAGCATCATCTGAAATGTCGTCATCCACTATGGTTTCCAGTCGGTGGCCTGAGCGACCGGAACGGGAAGCTTTCGGCTCAGGCATCTTCTCACCAAAAGCTTCCAACTCCTCGTGCAGAGACATCATGTTGGCTGCCAGACTGTTGGACCAAACAGAGATGGGTAACTTCTCAATCTCATCTTCGTCGTCGGACTAGAGATGTAAAGGAGAAGAGTGATTCGTCCTGAGTATGAACCTTGAGAATTCTAAAAGCCCGGTTGAAGTTTTAGTCTGTTGCGAGCATCGAATAACCCTAAAGACTTTATCGTGACGGAGAGAATGAACGGCTTGGCTTCGTTATAACCAATATACTCCTATTAGATCACCCATTTCGTGTTGTAGTAGTTGCACTCTAGGGCATATGCATTGCTGCAACCGGGTTAGTAAACCATTAGCACCCTGTCTGAAGCATTTCAAACTATCAACACAGCGCTTGAATTCACTAGTTTCAGCTGTATGTCAACGCCTATGGGCACAACGCCCCAACACAGCCTGGCAATTCGTGACCGTAAGTGATGGATGCATGACTTCTGACTGAAAAGCCAAGGACGAGATAGGCATGCACTCGCTTCAAAGCATCATCTGTTCCGTGTTTCACGCTACCACCTTGATAATTTTGCACAACTAACGTTTCACGGAACAGTACTATGCCGACATTCGTGCATTTTGTGGAGTAGGCGACTATTAGGTAGACTGCGCTAATAGTCATGCCAGTCGGCCTACCATTATCATAATGCACCTCTTAACATCAGAAACACGAGGATCCTATTCTGAAAAACACCCCGCCGACAGGCCACGTACATGCTTTCCTTTTATGTCACAATTCACTCACAATCCAGCGTAACAAAACCTCGAATGGGAAGTCGTTACAGTGAAAAAATTGCTGTTGAAGTCTTGCACCAAAATAAGGGTTAAGGAAAGGCCTTAATACTACAAGGTTATGCAAAACTACACACCTTCAGAGATGAGGACACTCGTGTGGGCACGAAGCCTGTATACAGAAAGCAGGACTACCACAAAACATCAGGTCTAAGCCTGATGAACTTACATACTTACTTCGTAATCGGCGTACCGGTACTTTTGTAAAACGGCTTTGCGGACGGCTGCTCTCTCCTCTTCCATAGCTTTGAACGCAGAACCACGCCACCGTTGTAGCAACTTGTTGAGCTCGATCGCAAAGGGATCAGGAGGGTCGGTCTGAGCTTCCCTCAGACATCTTTCACCTGCCTTAACTGCAGCATCGAACTCGCCAAGCGCCGCATGAGCCTGGAAAGAGAGAAACTTGGCACACTCACACCTGGGCAAAAGATGCCATGTGGTCAAATTGGTTGGAACTGCAGAAGTTAGGAGAAACTGTTTAATAAACTGCTTGAGCCTCACAAAGTAACAGGGTTCTCCAATAAATCGCTGAAAGAGGTATAAATTCGCTCCGACCAATTAACTACGTTGCAGAGAGGAATGCTTAGTACCACTTCTCCCTGGCGTGCTGTTGGGAAGCTGCAAGGTTACAGATACATTCACTTCACAATGCGACTGTCAAGCATCTCAACACTCGAAATGCAAAGAGCTTATCATTTATCCAACACATTACTCGCATATAAACATGCAAATCTTCTGATATTAATGCATGACTGACACGCGCTGCAAGCGCACTGGACTCAACCCTAGCTACAAGCCTCCCAAATTAAATTTGGTTATTCATGTTAACCTTTGGGTTTCTATCGGGACTAGAACGTTTCCACGGAGCTATCTTGGGAGACCTTAGAATAATACCGAGACACTAAGTAGCTCAAATTATCGATTCTCCTCAGGAATCTGATGGACAGAATGCTTAGAACCGTGCAAATTTTAACACCTGGTTGCTGAAAACGAAGTCGTATAAATCAAAATCCACAGCCCTCCTAAAATATTTGTTAGACGTACGGCCCAGAGGCAAACTAACTAGATAGATCATGTGGTCGCGTGGACCAATGAACACGAAACATATTATCTGGCTGAGTCCAGAAATATGGCCTCATTTCATCAACAAAACTGACAGAAACCATACAACTGGTTCCCTCTGGCGGGACTGCTTTGAGTGGCAAAGCTCATTCAAAAGGACCACCTCTAGTTGGTCACTCGAAGTGATTTATTCAGACGGGACAATTTGTTTCAAAATACAAACATCCTTGGACCTCCAAAAATGTCCCCATGTTTCAATCGCACATTCCTTCAAAATTGTAAGAACTGAGTGTAAATTCATCTACCGAGGACTGATTATTATTGGGTGGGAGAACAATAAAATTCCCCATCAAAGCTTCCGCATGAAACAATAGAACTCACCACAAGCGAAAACCACTGGTACATTGGAATAGCATGTAACGGACAGCTGGGAGCCACAGGCACAAAAACAATACCGTCAGCCAATCGAAGCCCAGCGACCATTGGTCCAAACCTCACTCACTTCAAAAGAACCGCATACTACCGACACTCCTAGCAAGGAAGCAAGTTCTGTGTACATCAACTCGGATTTGGACGAAGAAATCCATCGCAAAGCCCAGGTGCTCATCAATGAAACGTCTGTCTATTTAAAGGACCATGTCAACCTATTGGATGAATGGGATGTAAACACTATGCCATTGATTTATGCGTTTCCATTGAATTTATCTCCTACTGGCCTAGTATGTACGATACACATTCACTCTCATTATTCCAAGCGACAAAACACTGGCTTACCTTGGCCAGTCGAAACCAGCTCTTCATATAGGTCGGATCTAAGTCTATGGCACTTTGGCAGTACGCAATGCACTTATGGATGATCTGACGCATACTTTCAGAGTTAGCTTCATTTTGGCCGACCGAAGCGACAGAGCGCAATAAACACAGCGCTGCGTTGGCAAAGCAGAGTGATAGCAATTGGCGGGCCTCTGGCGTGGGAGTTACGGTGGAAGCGACCTCATTCTGATCATCGTTTGGTTTGAGCACACTCACACTTCCTTGAAGAAAACCTATACCGTGTTTGTAGGCACGTAGCGCCCGGACATACTGTGAAGCCTTTAAGAAAATAAGGAAAGAATCGAAAGTAAACCATAGGATTAGGAATTGGTGAACACCGAAGCTGAAAAACACGAGTAACCAACACTACGAAACAATCCATTCCGATTAAATGCCCAATAAGTAGTCAAATTTCGGCATAAAGAGTTTCGGCCATTAGTTTTGTCGGAGTCTAATAGTTTCTACACATCTTAGTATGGCATTAGTGCTATCGATCCGTGCATCGTCACGTCGTCCGGTACGTAACTTTTTCATAAAACTCACCGTCCCCATCATTCATTCATAAAGTTCAACTTAAGCAATCCCTAACTTTTTTTATTTCGAGAACAATGAACAACCTGTGAATATTTTAAAGGAAACAATTTCCATGACTACTTGATCTACAGTGCGAACTTTCGGTTCACCCAAATCCTACTGTAAGTAGGTGATACTCAGGGGGAAACAGAAAGACACCAGTGGTAGTGGACAGCTTGCTGTACAACCTTGGCTCCGTTTCGCTCGTTGAATAGAGCGGATTCAAAAACAAACCAAAATGGCAGACCTTCCCGCATCTGTTCAAGTTGTACTATGGAAGTGAGCGATTCAAGTTTGCAGATAGATGGTGGTTTTACAGACATCGTTTAAATTTTGAACCATGAAAAAAGCTTAAATAAAACCTAAGGCAACAGGATGGGAAACACCCGGAAATTCGTGAAAGCAACCGGGTGAATATGAGCATCGGCGTTCAATCTCCCTACAGCAAATAAATGAAAACCCTATTAAGTTGGCATGCGCAGTATCAGTAACTGTTCTGAATAATGGTGATCATAGAAAAATTATTTTTTATTGCCATTTGTTTGGGTCTAAGCACTGTCTCGAAGGAAGAAGCGCTTTGGGTGCTTCCAATTGGTTTTTAACAAGTTGGAGGTACTGCACGTAATGGAAAGGTCACAAGAATGAGAAGCCAATCACCACCAAAAACCTACCTGAATGAGCTTGTTACCCCGATTTTTCATAACCTTTGCGACATCAAGCTTCTCAGACTCGGACATCTGCCAGAATTTTTTCAGCTGAACGACACGCATGAGGGAGAACAGGAATAAGGTGCGCTTACCTTCTGGATATCCTGAAGATGGACTGTAAGTTCCATATCTAAGTCTTCAGATTCAGATAGATTTAGTGTGCTTCGTTCAAAACTAGTCAGGCCAGACATTGTAGAGGAATGTGCCACACATCGCTCATTGAGCTGCATGGTCTCCACAATGGTATCCAAAAGTTTGACAACCCCGAAATCTTCCGAATGACCGCAATCAAATACAATGGTCTGTCTATCCGATCTCGGGACGTTATTTATGGAAAATGATACTTCTGCTATTATCCGATCATGCTCACACGGCAGCCGACCGGTACCTGGAGAGATTACGGTCTTTGAGAAATGCGTCATCGAGCATTGCAAATCACGGGTGCAGTGGTTGCAAGATGTGAAGCCTTTGCAATGGTCAGTGCTGTAACCTAAAGATAAGAACTCGAATTTAAATAGCATCTTCGAAATCAGTAGATGGAACTGAACCGAACTCAGTTTATTCTGACACCAACACCAGTCCTCCCTTGTGATAGTCGCGTATTGTCAATCACAATTTGAAACCGTAACACTATCGCCAATTGGGTATGACAGATCGTCACGCATCCAATTGTCGTGAGTTGTTCCGATTTGGAACTTCCAGCAGACGATAGAGGGGATCTGTGATTACCTAAATGTGGTCTGTGAAACTTCAACAGCGATTTGGCGTTTTCAGAGGTAACCGACGGGAAGGAAACGATTCAGCAAGTAGTCCAACCATGTGAGTCGTTGACACTCCAGGACATAAATACGAATGCAGATTTACCACCGTTTTGGAGTAACTGTCTGATGTATGTGTAGATTCACAATTCTAGTTGATGGCTAATACTAACTGAATGCTCCGTTCAGTGATCTTACTTGACTCTGACTGACCGCCTGACAACGTGCTCTTCAGACTGACACGATCCAAGAGGTGACCATGTGGCCTGACAGAATGGGATACAGGAGTGATTCAACTCCCGAAATCTGGTCCTCTTAAGTTTCCTTGTGTTTAACTGGAAATGTTGCAATATTAAGTCGTCAAATAACGATGATTTTTATTCCGATTGTCCAACTAAGCATTTAGAGGTGTAGATGCCTCCGAATGCTTTCGGTAGGGAGAAATAATATTGCTCTGTTTCTTTCTTAACTCCATTGCAGAGTTTGTAACAAGAAATCCCCATGATCGTAAGGAATTGTGACAGCAGTGGCCACAGTGGTGTTGCGGATCATGATAGTAAATTATTTGGCACCTTACGTTTCCGCTAAATAGGTGCGAACGTCATAAGTACCTGTTCCATTTTTTTGTTCATCTAGAGTGGGCCCCGCATAGCCGTAAGGGTTTTTCGTGGGTACATTATATGGATATCTGCCACTGGTGACGAGCATTCCTGTACTTCAAATAGCTTGTATTTATTCGCTCTTCTTAGAATTAACCCGACAAGTGGCAGTTGGTGGCCATGATAACTGCTGTCCAAAGTATTTGGGCAAGGCGTTCTTCTTTGCCCAAGATGGTCACTTCATTCCAAGCCTTGATGGTTTCGCTCACAGATGGTTTCCGGGGACCGGTCGGACGAATCAACTGGGCATTCTCAGCTTTCTGAGCTTCTTCCTTTCCTTGGCTTTATGTGTCCACCAGACTTCACAGTCAGCTCGCACACTCACTTTCACTTGACGCCCGATGATTCATCGGGTCAGGTTATGTTCAGGGCCGGCTGGGATATTTCTCTGAGGTTTAAGCAGTGCCACTGTTAAGTCAGAAATACAGTACTCAGGAGTGCCTGGTACAGCCGGGCCACAGGCAAAACTCGCAGCACTGTGTAAAAAGTGCTCTTCCCTGTGTGAATTCACATCTGATGGAGGAGTATTTGGAAGAGACTCTAGAAGAAGATTCCGGTAAGTCGTCTAACATCCGGATGTGCCAGTCTCTCATTTGCCAGGCGATTTTTTCGTACCTTACACGGCCCTGGAAAAAGAAGGGAAAAGCGCCTCCGGACGGGCGCGTGGTGGGACTCCAAAAAATGTGTTCCGAAATGACTGGCAATCAGTTATCGATCGACGGTAACTGATACCACTGTGACCGACTTGAGTTTGTGGCTAGCACACCGTTGTCGGACACCATGTGACCAGACGACTTCGGCTACTTCAGAGGTTAGCACTGCATAAAAACAGCCTGCGGTCAGCACACAGTTGAAGCAATCCTTCACCACTGTCTACACGCACCGAGTCCAATCCACGCACTGAGCCTGCTCAGTTGTGCATTCAGATATCCAGCAACCACAATGACAGTTAAGCATTTAGCTCGCCGAAACAGTGCATTCAGGGCGTCATAAAACTTGTCTCTGATGGTGTCAGAGTTAGTCAGTTGGGGTGTAAGCAGACACGATAAACAGACATCGATCAACTTCCCCCCTTGTGAGACTCCTTCACAGACGTTGCCAGACGAACCATACTGAGGCTACCAGCAACGGGTATTCAGTCAAAGAAGTATGCTTCAGTCCAGTGAATTAGGACGATATCGACCCTGCATATCATGCCCCACCAACCTCTGGATCACCAGAGGTGCGCAGCCGGAAGTGAGAGGAGAGTGATGGGGCGGTTAGCTCAATCACTGTGTTTGCATCTTGAATTCTTGTTTCTGAGACACAGAACATATAAATGCCAAGCGGATCCAGTGTGAGAGCAACAGCAGCTTGTTGACCTGCTTGCTTCAGAGTACGTACATTGAGGGCGGCCAGATAGACTGGGCGTGGAGGCTTGAAGATTGATTCCGAGATGCTTCAGGATGTCGGCGCCGGATGACGCACAGAAGTTGCTTGGGAAAACCGTTCTAACTGCTGAGCCTACATTGAAAGTACTGATGGGGTAGGGAGGTGGAAGAAAAAGCATATGAGAGAAAAGGAAGGCGTCAGTAGTAGTGTTTTTGCTTGTCCGCCTTGTTGTATGCAACAAGTTAGGCGACCCGGATAATGGCAAAATGCGACGGCCAGTGTGGATGGGTTTATTTGTACAGCTCACGGTTGTACCTGGGTTAGGATACTTCCTGGGCGTCCACACCTAGACAGGAGGACGATTAGGGTCCTCAACCAAAGCCCTTGGCTCAAAAGCCGGACCGCAAGACAGCGGTGTTTGGCAGGAAATGCACATATATTGCCATTTCTACGGAACCCTCATCCTGGGGGACCAGGAGACTGTGTTGTCAGACCTCAACCTATTGGCCGATCTGGTATGAGGCTGCGATTGTCGTGCGGCCAAACGCTTTGCCCAGTATAGCTCAATGGACCGAAGAGGTGCCTGAGCCGTCGCACCATGGTAAGATTTAGGCGGAGTTTCACACTAACACCGCTCAATTTGACTCCTGGTTCAAGTGGTACGAAGACACGTTTAAGGCTAGTTTTTCCAAGTTTGACGACGGATAGAAAGTCAAATTATTGCTCATAAAACTCGGCACACCGGAACATGAACGGCACACAACCTTAATTCTCTCCGAGCGACAACGCAACCTTAGCCTTGATGAAACTGTCGGAACATTTTCCCAGCTATTCGAAGATCAATCCTCAATGCTCAATATCCGCTACCAATGCTTCAAGCTGGTCAAAAAAGACTATAACGACTTCACCACGTTTGCCGGTGTTTTCAATCGGTAATGGGGCGAGATGACTCGAGTGGTTAAAGCGCGAACCCGACCTCCGCCTCTAGACTTCCCCTGTCTAGGCTTGGGCAACCTGGCAGTATCCCAGCCCTCGTGCTTCCTTCGGGTAGCATGGCAGCTAGGCACCGGGTGTTACAGCTGAACGATTTTTCAATCGGGAATGAAAGTGCTTCAAGCTCAGCTCATCCACACCCAATTCTTAGCGCGTTAGATGATGCACAGCGATCAACCCATCTGCCAGCCCCTAACCATTGTTTCCTGTCTAGAATATCGCCCATAAAAATAACCACAAAGATCCCTTACTAAAGCCCACATTACTGCCATCGATGTCCCTATTGTTAAATTTGGCAACAGGTATCTTGTACTGAAACCTTGTCTTCTCTCCGTCGATGTATGTTGTATCTCCGAAACACGCATACAATAGTCCACTTCGGTCGTACACCTAAAGTCGTTTAGGGCGAGCTCGGGTCTTTCACATTCCCTCTCCGTTTTTCTAGTGATTCTGACTGATTGGCTTCTGATATCAACTGTACTCAACTCCGAGGCTGAGAGCGCTTTACTGAACTGGATCCCAGTAAACAGTCGTCCGTTCACTGTGCGGTTGTTTGGTTTAATTAAAAGTGATGCAGTTCGATGCGGTAAACGATGTTCATTTGTCGCATCAGCATACACCTCAGACTGCTCTCCTAGAACTGAGGACAGATCATACTGCGATCTGTTGCGACCAATTCGGCTAGCAAGGACGGACATAGCAATCCTGGCGGGCGATATGAATACTCCGGTTCGATTTCTTGGCCTAGAAAGAACACTGTTACGTTGTAGAGTTGAAGCCGACACCCAGCGTAGGACTAATGGAGTGTGACCGCTTCAGCTGTGTGCTGACAGTCTGTTCCTGGCCAATGCGATGAAAAATCGTTCAGCTATAACACCCTTTCAGTATCTAGCTACTATGCTACCCATACGAAGCACGAGGTCTGAGATAATGCCAGGCTGTCCAAGCCTAGGCACAGGAAGTCGAGTGGCAGAGATCGAGTTCGAATCACGAACTTTCCGGTCAGTAAATTTGCACTCTAACCACTGATCAATCTTGCTCCCTGACCAACATGAACTCCCGGCACAAACGCTCACATCGAATTACTTGGATGCCAACAAGCGCCAGTCAGTCATGGAAACGATTGGACCATGGGACTATCATTTACTGATCTGGAGCCTCGACTAGAGGTTGTTGTTTCTTCTGAGCCACGCAACTTCACTCTAATCATGCCATTGTGTGAATCTAAGTATCGCTTTGTTATGCGTCGGCATTACGCGTGCCGAAGAGCCTTTCCATTCACCAACTTCGACAGACTCAGCAGCTAAGGAGTATCGAGCTGAGCTGGCCACTAACTACTGGAAGAGCACAACCATGAGGATAACGAGGAGTGTTTGAATGTCAAATGGAAGCAGGTCAAATAAAATGTGCGCTCGGGTTTTCAGAACTGTTTTCCCGGGCGATCCGGCTTGACTAAATGAAAAATGGATATCGTCTAGACCAGCAAGTCCAAGTGCCATACCAACAATCAGCAATGAGACGGCACAGACAGATCCTTCAAACATCGGATAATCACGGGCTTGAAGGTTGACAGAGAAAGTTGGTAAATTTCGAGGGCCCAGAAGATGGCGAAGGCTCTCGCTGCAGGCAAAAGTCGCACCACGTTTCAGCTGATTTGATCAGCTAGTCAAAAGACATCATAATCATCATCACCATCATCGACAGCCTGACATCAGCGTTCAACACCGATGCTTCACTGCCGTACAACCATGACTTATTTGAAAGCCTTATTGTAAATAAAAGGATAAAGGTGGATGGGGGAGGGACTTAGTGCTACCTTATCACAATCATTCCGAGGTGCCTACACCTCCAGACATTCACTCAGGCAATCTGGATAGAAACTGACAACAAGAACGCCACTGACATCGGTTGGGAGCCATAACTTGTAGTATCTCCAAAAGACAAGTGTCAGCGAAAAGATACGCGAAAAAGACGGAACGGAAATCCACTTTCTCCGTCGCCGCCTTGAACGATGGGCTGAACATTTCGAAGAACAGTTCAGCTGGTATGCTTCAGCACCTTTGGAAGAACCCAGCAGGCCTGAGTGGAATATCGGCACTAGCTCGCAGTCAATGACAGAAATCAAGTGCGAGACATCAATCCTCCAACTCGACAAGGCGCCATGCCCGAATGGTATGGACCTCGCATTCTTTGAAGACGTTGGTGAGGTCAAAGTGAGCGGTATGGTGGCCATACTACTGGGCTGATGCTATTACCACATCGTTAACAATATGACGTTAGTTCGTCCCCTACAAATTGGACCTGCACGATAAATACCTCGTTTTCGACTGTATAGTTATACATTGTCGCTGAATTGCGTTTTAGGTTTCACTGATTTGTGTCAAAAACACTCATCACATGCATGCAGGGACCGTGTAAGTCACGGGGATTATTATTTAAAAAACGTTACACCTTAGGCAAAGACGGAGTGCGACTGGAACGAACACTTGAAAACGCTGTTGCAGTGCATATGAACCAAATTAAGGTTCTATTTTTTGTTGGAATCCTACGGAGCCTTTCGTGAACTCCTCATAGGTCACAAAAATGAAAGTCGAAAAGTTGTGGTAATAGGGATATTCAGCAGAAATATTGGTTATTGTATCTATAGATACGATAATGTCATTAAATGACACTGACTAGCGGATTGGTTATAACACTGGGTGTACCTTAAGGTACACATAATTATGCATAATTATGCAGCCGAACAGCTCATATATATATNGCACGCGAACAGCTCATATATATATATATATATATATATATAATGGTGCAAATGGATTAAACTAACTTCCCGTAAAAGTGACAACCTCGAAAACCATATAGCGTCTGCGAAAATGATCCGGGGATGTCTCCAGCTGGCGGCTTCACGAGCCAAACGCGAGCACACGATTGGTCCAGAGACTCATCTGCGCCTTTCAGTATTCACACAATGCAATCGACTTCTCGAAAGCTATGACGTACTCAAGGTTACCACCTTGTGGTATCGAATGTCTATGTCTGCAGATCATCTACATGGGTGTTTTGTTCATTCCCATTCTCAGTCGGTTCGTGATTTCGTTTTGCAACTGCAGACACAGGCAGCCAAATGTGATTACGGTGCCCAATTGGAAGACCAGCTGCATAATAGGCTCATTGCTGGCATTCAACTCCCCGAATTACAGCAGAAGTTTCTGCTCTGTCCAGATCAGAAATCTCAAACTATTTGGAAAATATGTGAGCAGTATGAAGATGTGAAGCATGTGACGAAGACTGAGGAAGCAGTCTTGTTAAATTATTCCAAAAGAAATAATCCAAGGATGCAGACGAACAACAAATTCAAATCTCGAACAGATTCTCGTGCCCCAAATCCATCAACACGTCACTTCACAGATCGTAACCCTAATCCGATGGCTCAAAAATATGGGAAATGCGAGTCTTGTGGACGAAACCATTCCAGGTAATCATGCCCCCCACAGACGAGCGAAGTGTTTTATCTGCGGTAAAACAGGACACATTCAACCTGTCTGTAAGTCCATGAAAGTGTGTCACTTAACTTCTGACCCAAGTACTGACATGAAGTCATTATCTGAAGATATTTCTACTCTTTCTCTATCTGTTTTGTTCCAAAATTCGTCACATGTTTATAAAACGTTGGTATCCGCTTCTGGTCAAAAGCATGACTTTATTGTTGATACTGCTAGTGTTGAGTCCATCATTCCACAATCAAATCTAACTGCATTCTAACCCAGTGCCGTGATAGTGCCTACAGATGATAACATTCGCGGTATCACTGGACATTCTGTACCTCTAGTTGGTAGATGCACAGTCCCTGTGAGGTTACCCCAAGGTATCTCTATCGATTGTAATTTCTTGGTTTCAACGTCGGGACCGTCGATTGCCGGACTCAAAGTTCTGCGCTCACTGCAAACCAGTATCACCTTACCGACTTTTGTGAATGAGAACGAAATCAAACAACCTATTCCTAAATGTCCCAAGC